CAAACAAACAAACAAGATCTCTTAATAAATGCATATCTTCTTGTCTTCCTATTAGAAAACTTACACAAAATAAATATTAAGAAATTAACAAAACGAAAATCACACAATAATTATATGCGCTAACCGTCTTTAATTTTGAACTGAAACACAAGAAGGAAGGCAGCTAGCCAAGAGAACCCACCACCCTCTCTTGAGATACTCCTATTTGATCAAAATGTGTGATTTCACCTTCACTCTTACAGCGCACTGATTTAATTTTGACTTTAATAAAAATGATAGATATTTTAAGTCTTCATTTGCGACCTTCTTGTGCCTTGACGAGAATAAGTCGTTGCCTAAACGAGAGAACTACAGGTATGCCTTAACATAGAAAATTGTACGTTAACATATGTGTGGAGAGACGCACTAATCTAGATGAAGCCATCAAAACTTATGAGGAAATTATTAGAGCTCAAAGTAACTTTATATATTAGTATTTCGTGAATTGCAACATCAAGTAGGATCTCCAACGGTTTAAGTTTCTACCTTCTGTTCCAAGGGTTTAAGTTTCTATCTTCTGTTCTTGTTTTCTCAACATTGTCGAGGCAGTAGTCCTTGATTTGCAACATCAAGTGGAATCTCCAGTTCCTACTGTTAGATATACACGACTGTTTCATTTAAATTTAAACTGAGAGTTCTGATTTAGACAGTTATAAAGTGCGAGTGTTAAATCTAATATTTTTAGAAGCGATATTTTATCGCAGGTTTACTTACGTAACTCTTTACGAATCATTTGTTGTATAGTTCAATTTTTGTGGATTGACGTCATGTTACTCGAATTTTCTGAATTATATATTATATATATAGGTGACCAAAATTTTTGTGAAAGTGCGTGTGAGTTTAGCCATAACGGACGATTTCTAAAGTGAGTTTCACAGCTTGTATTCTAATAACAGAACTAGAGGAGAATAATTTGTCTTGTCAAAGGTGTTCTAAAGTAATCGAACCCGCCTGTGTGGGCTTTGACGAAAAAGAGAATTATTTAAAATCCTGGATTGAACTGTGGTGATTAACTGTGTGATGAACATTTGTACATACATTTGACTTGTTTTGAATATGTTATTTCAAAACAACTGGATTGTGTGCTGTCTGTTTATTGTTCGAATTTATCACCAACAAGTCACAAACACCTCCTGTAAAGACTTGCGGCCCTATAAAACCTGACACCTACCTTTTGTTGTTGCATTCCCAAAATTGTTAAGTGATCTATTGTTTTCTTTTCTTGAATATTCTTCCCAAGCACAAATTGTCTGAACGCCATATCTTCAAGTTTGAAGGAACATTTGGAGTACACATTGTACATTTAGCTGTAACTTAGATTTTTCAGACGTGTTGGTACAAATACAGTATAATCAATATAGCTGTATTTAGATACGTCCATGCTCTATCAAGTGCACTTTGTAGTTTCGGTATTGTGTACCTTGAACTTGTTACAATACGTGACAAATGGTGACTATAACAACTAACACTGTTTAGTTTCTTCCATGGGGGTTGTCAAAGTATACTGTGATTTTAGGAATACGCACCTTCTTCATTATGATTAATATCTTATTAAGCTTCTTACTGTAGAAATCCCAGTAGCTATTATAGAAACTAATTCAAATTATATTTACATATCTCTATGGTACTGTTAAAATAAAGTACATCATAATTTCAAAGTTATACACTTTGCACAGTGCTTCAAATGAAACAAAAGTACCTATACTTAGGCGTTTTACTTTGTGGGTGGGGGGTATGAGATGTTACTTAATCTATATTCTCCAATACGTTAATTGTTTCTGGAAGATACAATGAAAGTGCATTGCATTAATAAAGTTTTTAAAACATGTAAAATGCCGGTACGCAAATGTTTGAATTTTTCATTTGTTTGTTTGTTTGTTGTAGAGTAAAGTCAAATTAGGCTATCAAAAAAAACAAAAAAAACTGTGTCCATCGCGGGGAATCGAAGCCGGGATTAAAGCTTTGGAAGTTCGTAAATTTACCGATGTCTCACCGGACGATTTGAAATTTTGAATTGCGGCATGGCTACAGACCTATTTCAAGGACTGACATTTTACTTTTTATCTTTCTGCACTTACAATTACCAAGTATAGTAAAGTTAGTTACGTCCATGTGGATGGCAAATTCCTAATTGTTTACTTAATTAACTTAAACCTATCTCGAGATCTCTTCAGTTAGAGGTAAGTTTTTATTTTATCGTGTAACTTAATGTCAAATCTTTCCTGCTTCGAACGTAATAGAAAAGTGAGAAATATATTTTGGTCACGTTTTCTCCAAAGATATAGTATAGAATTTCATTAATTTCTCGTATTTCTTTTGCGCTACAATTTTAATTTCTTTGTAATGTAATCCGAAGTTCGATTACGCGTATTGGACAGAACGCATAGTCTATTGTATAGATTTGCTTTGAAACGACAACATCGAGAGCTCTTTATTAATATTGCCTACACACACACACACACACACACACAAAGGACTGTTTAGTAACAACGAAATCAACTATGACTGTCAGACCCATCTAGCCACCATCCCCTTATTACGAGAAACTTCATTTCATAAGTGTGAGTTTATCTTGTTCATGTTGGCAGGATAACACTTGTTTTGTTAAGGCGTAGCCCATGCGTTTAACAAGTATATTTATTTCCCTATTCCATAATTTCACATTATAAGTTATCATACTGGACAAGACTTTCTTAGGCAACGAAGTATAGGTAGAAGTATCTAAGAATACGCACCTATAAATATTTAAACATCATGAAGTCTTGCTGTAACCATCGACGGGGGAACAAGGGGGGAAGGGAAGGTTTACGTCTGGAGGGAGTTATCTGGCACTAAATTTAAGACTGTCATTCAGAGGCATCGCTAGGTGTTTAAAAAATTAGAGGTTCGTGTCTGCAGGACCGAGAATTTCCGGCGTTTCAGCATGATAACAATCATGGTTTCCTATTCTGCTTTTCAAGACACCAACTGGGGATTTGGGGCACTGTTAAATAGAATCGGGGCACGGTCCCCGTGTGCCAACGCCTAGCGACGCCTCTGCTGTCATAATTACATGTATGAATTTTTCCACGTATCTCTTAGAAATTGCTCCACGTGAAATCTATAAACGGTACGTTTTTTGGGATCATACTCTCTGATCCCCTTAAAATTTACCATATTCAATTCTCTCATGCACTCCCCCCCCACCCCTCACACAAACATGCGCGCGCATAACAAAAGTACAACCGATAAATTCAAGAAAAAATACGCAACAACAACAACAACAACCCAGGTATAGTGCATGGATAGTAGGCCTAGAGGAGTCTTTTCTTTCACCTTCTGTGATTCGTAAAATCAGCCCACGCTTTGTTCTTCTGGCTGTTAGGTGGGCAACCCGGAAACCTAAACGATCAGTAAGTTACTGGGTCAAGTCCGGCTTGCCTTGCCCACCAACCTCCGACATTTTCTCATCAAAATCGCGTTGAACCCAGCGGCACCCGTCAGACCACATTCACGTGCAGCTCGTGCAGGAGATTGTAAGTTACTATACTACTGAGATTGTTAGGCCTGACTGTCACTGGGGAAGGAGTTCATGGTTCGGAAATATTAAAGTTGCAGGCTGTAAACACGTTTGTCTCGCTCAAACAACAGTGTATGGTTGTATAAATAAGTAAGAAAAAATACAGAACTACTGGCTAGCAGCGGTGGAGGTCATTGTACGAATTGTACCCCTGTTTCCCCGAAGATCGTCTAGTAACGTGATCCCCATTTCCAACAGTATCAGGCTAAACTAGAAACAGCTAAAGTATTTCACTCAAAATAATGTGTCAAGAAGTAGTAAGTATGATTTATTTTATCGCTGCTTTTTTCCCTTTAATATATAAAATAAAAGAAGTTTAGCTGTTGTTACCACAATCTTTCAACACTTGCAACCATGCTGATACATAGTACAAGACTAGAACGTGGAGTTATTTATTTTATAGTGTTGTAACATCAACACTTCATTCAACGACTAGTCCACGTAACAATCACAAACTAGTTTATTTAAAAATATCTTTAAGTTAACGTTTATATAATCTTGAACAGCTACACATTGTCGAAATTGTCGTAAGCTTACGTTACAAATGACGTTCACTTTGTTACAATACGTAAAAAAAATCTTACTTACTTGTGCAACGTAATTCGGTACCCACGATAGCAACGAGGTTCATGTACTACACGAAGACACACTGACTGATTTAACTTCAAATAACTCTATCTACCTTCCTAATTATATTTTAACTTGAAACATCTACTCCCTATATAATCTAGCTTTGAAGGTGCAAGAATTTAACGTCAACCTACGATTTTTAGGTATTTTACGTTCTCTATATAACAAACAAATTACAACACTAAAAATACAGCTTACCACAATATCAATAAGAATTAAATATAACTTAATAAGTGACAGAATTTAAATTAAACAATTGTTTGCAAAATATTTTGCTTTGTTCCAGATACGATCACATAATAACTCCTGTTTTACTTCAGAATTATCTATATAACATAGGAACAAAAACTAAAATTTCCCCACTTTAATTTCAGGACTCACCAGACAAATACTATAATTTGAGCTGATAATGAATGACTTAAAAAGTGACTTAAGATTTTAACTTGCAAACTCTTGGACATGAACATTTTTCTGATTTCATTTCTGTCTCGCCATTTCCTGCTTGCCAATATTGTAACATCGTAAATAGTACAACAAAATGTTAACATCGTCCATTAGTATTTATATTCCAATTTATCTTATTTCTTCAGACAGGACCCTTCTTTATTTTGGTATTTATATGGACTTTGCTGCTTCGTACTACTACTACTGGACAACTCCTGCCACAAAATGCTCCTTCTCCGGAGTTGATTTCTGATCTTTTTCAAAATGCCCCACCGTTAATTCAAGCTGCATTACGCAACGTTGGATTGAGGCAGAATAATACTCCACGCAAACAAAGCAACAGACCTTTTCCATACTATGTAACCAACGGTGATGATGGTGAGCTACGTCCACCTACACAGTTTCAAACAAACAGTGCTTCTGTAGCTTCACACTCAAAAGTGTTACAAGTTCAACAGATACGAAAGCCACGCCCTCATCCTTCAAGACCTCAACGTGTGCAGGTACTGTCACCTGAAGAATTGTTGGTCAGTGATGCTCATTCTTATCAACCACAAACGTCTGCCAGACCTGACCTAATCGGAGGCCGGTATCTAAACAGCAATAGACCAAACAGAGACGAACAAACTTACGCCCATCTTACAAGAGTGTCCTTCCCCCCACAAGGTAGCGCTTCTCGACCTCAGTTTCTTCAGCCACCAGAATATCAGAAATCTCAACAATACCTCTTTCATGATACTGAAGTTTCTCAGCCTGTTACTCGGGTGAGTAGTGTTGAAAGCATGCCATCTTGTTTCATTTAATGACAATCAGAGATTGTGTTAAATAAATATTCAATAAGTGATAAACGTGTCAGCAATTTTGAATAATTACGTTTTAATAATTTTTTTGTTTTGAATATGCATATATATAACGTTGATATTTGTTTAATAAAAAAATTTCGAAATCTTCAGCTAACATACGAGGGGATCAAATTTAAGTCGTCATACTTAGCTTAGTACCACGACTTGAGTTGGATCCACTGGTATGTTAGCTAGAGATTTAGAATTTTTTTTTACGTTAACAAACTCAAACATTTCAATTCCAAACGTAACAAATAAACACGTACTTTAGTAGCGTTAAATTTCATGTACAATGAAAGAAGAATAGTAAGCATGTGTGATAATAAATGAAACAATATGAGCAATCCATGTTTTCAGTTTTACCTTCGTGGAGTAAATTAATACCCTTGAAAAGTCGTGCAACTTTGACTTGAAAAAAAGTAGGGGATATGTCTCCTCTTTCCCAATGTAAATCACGCTCATATCCTTGGGTCTAGTCAGAAACTTTAACTAAGAGCTTTCACGCATTAATAGTGTGACCTTTTAAACTTAACTGTCTTTATGGAGTAACAATTCTAAAACGAAATTAAAATAATAAGCAAATTGCTTTCAACAATCTCCAGAAAATCTTCTGAGTTGAGTTCAACAAGCCGGTGAAAAAGAAAAAAATGGAAAATTTATCATTGGCGCGTGAATATTTAAAATTTTAACAAACTGCTTATCTTTTAGCCCTTAGTATTTTAAAATTTTATACTAGATTAATGTCTCGAGGTTTGTTATTGAACAATAGAAGCTCTGTTATGAAAATTAATTTCATGTGCGATTCCAGTCCTCCGTTAGCATTCGACGCCCTTACCAAGTCCAACGAAGACCATCCTTGACGTCATCACACAGTGTCGGTTCTTCCGTTGGTTCTCCGAACCCTCCATTGGTGATTCCGCAAAACATTAGACATCCACAGTATGAGTATGGATTTGTTCCGATCTCGGAGAATGAGGTGGCAAAAGGTTCATCTGAAGCAACTGGATTAGAGTCATTCCCAGAAGGTACTCTTTCTGAAGGCCCTCTACGGCCCCCAAAGACTTTGGATCATCCACAGGAAGAATTCGACAACAGTGTTATCGCTTCAGTAACGAGTAACAACCCGGCTGAAACCGGAAGAGAGCAATCTAACTCAGTTGAAGTAGATTGTGGAGGAAGTAAGGACCTGGGCTGGTGTGATCTGCAAGAAAAATACCCTAGGTTAGTATATTGGATAGGTACAACCTGTAAAAATCCCATGTTAGTTTAGTAGTCCAATAATGTTTTGGAAAAAAAAAATTCCCAGATTAGTATGGACTAAAATTACTACGCCCAAGGTTATCATAGTGAACTGGTTTAAAATAACAGTATTCCAGATTAGTACTATAAGCTGGTATAGAAGAACAATGTTCTAATGTAGTATAATCAGCCAGAATGATATGTAAGAAAATATTACAGGTTAGTGTTGTGAGCGTGTGTAGAAGAACATTGTTCTAATCTAGTATTGTGAGCCGTTACAGAAGAAGAATATTTAGTTTAGTATACTGTGAACTGGTATAGTATGTAAGACAGCAATATTCTAATCTAGTATTGTGAGCCGATGTTGAAGAACAATATTCTAGTTTAGCATATAGTAAGCCGGTTTATTATGTCAGAGCAATATTCTGAGCTAGTATTGTGAGCCAGTATAGAAGAAAAAATGTTTACTTTAGTATAGTGATCCGGTATGGTCTGGTAAAACAGTACTTTCGGTTAGAAATGTGTGATAGTATAGTTCAAACAATTTTGAATATTTAAATCAGTAAGTCATGTGACAGCCGATATAAAGTCGTGGTGGGACGGACTGTATCAGAACTACGTTTTGATATTGATTAGAGTTCGTAGGAAATATGACACCACCGAAAATTGATTACTTTAGGGAAAACATAAAATATTTATACATTCAGATCGTAACAACATGATCAGAATGGAGATGTACCTTGTACTTAATGGCAATGTAGAACAGAAGGCTGTTGATCAAATGGAGATACCAAGATCACCAAGAAAGAGACCTGCAACAAGCTGTACCTCAGTTATGGTAAGAAAGGTGCAACTTTTTGTAATTGGTGAGAATTTATTAACACAAATGTCAGTAGCAAAAGACGTCCGCATGTTCCGGATAACAGTACAACATGATCAAGGGAGATCTCCGTCTCAAAACGAGACCAACAGGATATGAGTTTACCACCATAAGGTTTCCAGTCATGCTTCAAGAAACTGAAAAAAAAACGGGTATTTATTAGGGTACATCGAAAAAATATACATCATTATATCATTATCGGCAGAGTATGCGATTGGTTCTTTTTAATAGTAGTAATTATGTGGGTAAGTTTCAAACTTCTAAAATTATATCTTGTACTGCCGTGAGGGGGGGGGGTATTTTCCTTAAAATATCCATAATCAAAGTACCATAGCTTTGTATATGCAACGTTTAGCTAATTTAGGAGTTTTATATCCTAAATTACCCATAACTCACCATAAGGAGATAATTGCATGTCGAGTTCTACCCATGCCCACCCTTCCACTACGCAATAGAATTACTGGATTATGTATAGATTCTTAGTATTATATTTTTTCATGATTTTGCGAGATTGAAGTTTTGCTTTAATGAATCCCTTTCTTCTGCGATAGCCACGAATAGCTGCTGAAGCTTCCGTTAATATTTTAACATGTCTTTCAACTGCTTGTGTGTAACACGGCATACTGAACTTGAAAACTGGCATGTTATCTTCATTAATGAAAGACACCAACTGTTCATTGCTTGTATTTTTTATAAGTGATGGCTCAACTCTCAGTCCACATTATTAGATCAGTGTAATGTTGAACTTCCACATTAATATTTGGAACCACAAACTGTCTCATTGTGCTAGAATTTGAGGTAGATCGAGTAGCTAATGTTCTACGAAGAGCAAGTTGTCTGATAGCCTTAGAATCATCTCTAAACATTGCAAGCAGCAAATTTTCCGGGTAGGCACAATATGCATTTCTCCGGATAACTCTATCCATCACATATTTCTCTGGGTTACTCTATCCATCCCATATTTCTCTGGATTACTCTATCCACCACACATTTCTCTGATTCCGGGAGAAAACGTGATTTTCTTACACGTAGAAAAAAGGTGCAGTGAGCCATGGCTGCATGAGAGATTTTTCTTGATATTAAACCAAACTGTTGTATACATTTCAATTACATATCTCACTAACAAATTAAGCTTATTGGGTGGGTAGGCAGTTGCGAAGTAAAGGCGCAAAATCCTGTTTGCTGTTGTTAACCAGCGAGAATGGTTCATTGTACCAGGATCATGTAAAGCAAGTTTTCTTGAACAATGACCTGACACTACCACATTGCACATGTCATACAAATATTTTTGATCTATACTAAGATCCTCAGGATTGTCAATTTTCGGTAATGACTCTTTAATTTCGACAGAAACAATGTTTACTGAAGGCAATGATTCGCAAATTTTCAGTTTCTTTCCAAGAGGACCAGAAAAAGCGGATGATCCTAGAGTTACTCCGTCAAGATGAGTGATTAGATAACTCGGGGATAACTCATTTGCATGTAACAAACAAATTAACCAACGAACAGATCTTGCTAAGTGCAATTCAAGAAGCCGCATAACTCCAGCTTTTTTTTTTCCAGTGTTGATGTATGTGTCGTCACAGCTTACAGCGACTAAATGATCAGATGAAATTTTGTTATCTTCAAACCACTGAATGATAGCTTCTCTCAATATCATTAGAAGCGGTGTCCTCATTTGTTTGTTTATTTTAGGATTTTGGGATTTCGATGTAGAAAGTGTAGTATTAGCAAAATAATACAAACAAGGCATTGATTAACTATTTCATTTGGTGGAAAGATGATACACTTTTTTTCAAACTTTGGTTCGCTTGCGGCAGTTGAAGATATAATTGGAGGAGTTTCCTGCTGCATAAGATTAAGTCTTGTAATAAACGGCAACTAATCCTGCCGATTAACAATTTCAAAGTAAAATTTTCGACAAAGTAAATTCCAGGCATCCTAGTATTTATGCTATTCCATACGAAGCTATACCCGTCAAGTCGTCGGACGCAGCACCTATTGAATTCTGCGCTTATGGAAAGCCTGTAGGAAAGAGTGGTGTGCCTCGGACATAGCAACCTTATGACGAAGCCTTTATAAATAAAAAATTCATTGTACATCTATTGTCAAGGTACACGGTTGGCACAGATAGAGTATGACAAAACGTGGCAACATGAACTGTAACGACATGATGAAACTCCAAGATAGTTTTAATACAACTTACTCAATCTCTGTAGAAGAATAATGTATTATAGTAGTAAAGAGAAACATGGAAAGAAAAAAAAAACCTCGTACAGGTATGATAAATTCAGTAATTTTAATGATTAACTCCTTATGCTATAATGTATGATATCATTTAATATAAAAGAATTGTTTTGTTTTTGGTTTGGTTTGGTTTG